TTAAAGTATCAGTCTAAATGATGCTAATTACTTACTGTTAGTTATCACTAAAAATCAAGTAATTAAGAATTCTAATTAAGTTGTAAAAATACATAGTTGGTTAATAGAAGGAATAAAGTATGCAAACACTTATTGAAGGAAAATAATTTGTTCTAAAATTGGTTATTTTTCAGTGAGAAAGAAGTGTAAATTGCAGAACAATTGTGAACCTCACACAGAGTCTATGCAAGCTGGGCGAGGGGGCTGAGGGGGAAAATGGGACAACTGTGGTAGAATAACTATAATAATAATAAAAGTAAGGTTTATAAAGAGAAATCTTGGGAGGAAACTATATAGTTAAGCTGAATAATGAATTCATTTAGGTAAATGAATCTAAATTTCAAAAGTAAGCTAATACAGAATTTGTTTGATTCTTTTTCAGAATGCTGAAAGAGAAAAAGTTTTTATGTATCTGCCTGAAAGCAAAGACTTTATATCTTTAAAAATAGTGATGCATTATATTTTATTAATTAGGTGTTTGATTACTTAAAAAATCCATATTCCTTTTTTAAGATGTTATTTATTTATTTTTAAAGAGAAGGGAGGGGAGGGAGAAAGTGGGAAGCAAAACATCAATGTGTGGTTGCCTCCAGCTACCCCCTACTGGGGATATGGCCTGCAACCTAGGCATGTGCCCTGACTGGGAATCGAACTGGTGATGCTTTGGTTCACAGGCCTGTGCTCAATCTACTGAGCTACACCAGCCAGGGCAAAAATCCATATTTTTTATTCTAATAACTGAAGCTTTGCTAGCCTGTATTTGTATTTGATACCTTTATTTTCACTCTTGATGAATAAATAATTTAATATCGCTTCATAATGACATACGATCTTTTGGTTGAATATGTTTGACAACCTTTCCTTTTAAATTTTAAAAGACTTTTATTTAATATTTTATTTATTTTTAGAGAGAAGGGAAGGAGAAAGAGTGGGAGAGAAACATCAGTGTGTGGTTGCCTCTCATGTGTCCCCTGTGGGGACCTGGCCTGCAACCCAGGCATGTGCCCTGACTGGGAATCAAACCAGCGACCCTTTGCTTCACAGGCCCGTGCTCAATCCACTGAGCTAAACCAGCCAGGGCTAAAAGACTTTTTCTTGACCTAAATTTGGCTTTGTGTCTTTCCAATGGCTCCCTAGAATGCTGCAGAGATTTGCTCTTTCTCCTTTAAAAAGAAATTTTAAATCAACTTGCCCTACTTGATATGCTTAAAGTGCATGAAAGCTTTGTTAAATAAAGAAATAATGATTATGTTCTATTTTATATACATATTTTATTATTAAAATGGATGTTCTAGAGATTATATAAAAATCTCAGAGTCTACAAAGTTCTGCTATACTTTCATTTGTAATTCTAATGCCTATCTTAAAATGTCGTTACAGGAAAGAAAATCCTTTTGTCAACTGCATTATAATCAGATCTATAACCTTGTCATTTTTTTGTCACTTAGAAACAGTCATTGTTTTACCCTGATGCATTTACAAATATGTTACATCTTCAGAAAGATCCATGGAAAGGACTCAGACTTCTTTGAAATTACACATTTTTGAGAATGTATTTTCAGATCGTATTTTTAATTGGATAAAGATTACAGGAGTGCTATTGAATAACTGGACTTTTAGAAATACTGGCAAATAGGATGAACAAAAATTGATTATGGGACAGAATGAAATGAAGATGATTGTAGTTTTTGCAACTTTTTGTTGGAAATATTGCTAATTTTTAATCTCTTTGTTTTTCATATATAAGAAAAACATTTTTTCTTAAAGATATTTGGTAAATTATAGTCTCATAAGAAATATTGAGGCATTTATATTTTTCTCCCTATCTGATCCCTCCAGAATTAGAAACTTAATGAATAAATAACATTATTTCTATGGCAATGAGTATATTCACATAAAACCAACAGGAATCTGATTTCTTTATAACAAGACACGTAAAGCCAGTTTTCAATTGTGGTTTTATTATCCAACACATGCTTTGCCTCTGGGTATCAGAAAAAGCTTTAAGGAATTAAGATTGACTTTGAAACCAGTAAGAGGCCCTCAGAGAAATGGCTCAGTACCTTGCTTATTCCTAAGTTTCGTGGTGGTCTTTCCAGGTAAGGAGCAAAATTTACTTTTCTGAGATATGGCAAGAAACAACCTGAAGACATCTCGGAGACCTTGAGAACTTGATAAACTGAACCAAGGTACTGCAGGCAAAGCCTCATGGCAACTGGGTACCTTGGTTTCTCCGTCCTGTGGGGCTAATAAAAGCTCAATATGGAAATTTCTTATAAAATTCCAGCAAAGTATATTTAAGAGAGCCCATATGATCAATTGTGGCCGACCCTGGCCAGCAGAGTCTGCCTGTTGTGGCTTATGATGAGAATTAATGCACAGGACAACAATCTTGTGTGGAAAAGGGAACAGGCATGACGACCGTCTCAAGGGGAGAGTGTCTCTGGATGCCTAGGCCACTCTCTCAAGAGGGGAGCGCCCCGACCCTTGCCTAGACAGGCTTTTATTATTTTTCCTGGGGTCTTACATCAAAGAAAGATTTATTATTTATCACATAGAATATTATTGTCTACATTCTAGGTGCAATCAAGGAAATAAAAATAACATGCAGAGGGGGATGGCAATGAGCTGATTAGCTCTGTCCTTGGGAGAGTTCACACAGGCTTTGGAAATTACCTTGAAGACAGACAATACATAGCATTTTCTAGGCCTGATTCCCATGGGAAAACTCGGTTTGCAGGTCTGGGTTCTGCCCACCACTTCACATCTGTAGGTTTTCCATACAGAGCTGAGTCACATTTGCCAGGCTAAGACAAACTGGTCCCCTAACAATCATCAATTGCTATTTCTGTTGTGGTTATGCAAATAATCAGGCCAGACTGAAACTGGACTTAATGCAGTAAGTGAATTGGTCTTGATTTGGCTCTTTGATAAAAATAAGGGTGATTTTAGGGGGAGAAATTGTGTTTTAATAGACTCTATAATACACAGTGTGGAGACTAAACTCTAGTTCATTTAATTGTTTTCAAAGCTTTATTTCTCGCTTATGCATAGATAAGACCAGAGCAGGGACAACTGACTGGGTGCAGAAGGTATGGGTGCACCAAAATGGAAAGCTGAGGTGCCTAGCAACAAGCATGGGAAAGAGAAATAAATAAAAAGAGGCATGTAGGCAGAGGCTGAAATTGAATGGTGACTCAGGTGATGAATAAGGAGCCCAGTGACTCCTCCAGACACCTCCCAATCAATCATTATTTCCCCACTGGGGCCTCAGATATAAATGACAATGGGGAACAAATTAACTGACTTTTAGAAGACACAGGAGCCACACACTCTGTATCAAACATTAAATTGACTAAAAAATAATAAAAACCCTACAGCAATCTCAATCTCAACAAGAGAGATGCAGCAACAAGCCTCCCTCCAGCCTTCAGATGCCAACTCAGAGACTGTAAGTTATCACACAGCCTCCTCTATTTGCCTGAATGTCCCACTCCTCTGCTGGGATGGAACTTGCTCTGTAAACTGCCCACTCATGTAATTTTTTCTCCTACAAGGCCTGCAGGTCTCACCGGAACAGGCACTCCCAACTCCAGATGCTTTTAGCCTGTCCAGGGAACCCAGAGAAGCACTGTTTCCACCTGAGATCTACAAGCAAATAAATAAAACTGTTTGAGTAGATAGGACTCTGGGGTGAATAATTAGTGCTCACCCGAATGGCCTGAGATCACCCCAGAGAAATTTCAAACAGCGGTGAATATTTCTTTAAATGTACTCTATTACCCTGGTGGGGAGTAGCCGCACATCAGCACATACTTTGGAATCTCTCCAGGACTTTAATCACCACAGCCCGTAAAACTGCCACTTCACTTGCTAATATTCAGAAATCTCTGAATTCTCTAGCTAAAGCTGTCTCAGATCATCAAATTGCCTTAGACTACATACTAGCAGAACAAAGAGGAGTTTTCAAGACCATCAACTTCTCTTGTACATACATTGGCACCTCAGTTCAGGTGAAAACAGCATCACAAAAGTCAGGCAACAGGCTATCTGATTCCAACAAACGTTGGAAAGCAAGCCCGTCTCTTTGAGGGAACTAGAGATTGGTTTATGAGTCTGTTTTCATGAATACCATAAGGACTCAAATCCATATTAGGAAAAAATTTTAGTTTAGGTTTAACCGTCTTTTCTTTACCATGCTTCTCTTTATTGTTTTGAAGTTCTTTATGGCTTGTTTTTCCCATGCTGGAAAATTATATCTCCTTGATGAGTGCCTCTAAAAATATATCTGCTTCTGACCTATGAGATTTTGCTTTACAACAGGCTCAGGTTTTTCACTCCCCTGGAGATTCAGAGGATATTAATAGCTCCATAGATATGGAGGAAGAATTGACAATTAGGAATTGGAACAGGGAATAAAAACTTCATACTACTCTGAAGTACTATGAAATGGAATTAGAATAAAATATACTAACACACTCATAGCAGATTCATGTATTTAGAGTTTCCTTATAAATATTTGGTAGAAATTAGCAGTTGCAACTGTTGCTTAACTAATGAATGGCCCTCATCACAAGAAACTGGGAGACTGTCAGTGACTCAGAACCAGCAGAAATACTTCCTGCACGTCCCATTCCCAGGCATCAGCAGTGACACTGCACTGGCACTGATTAAACTACCTGATGATGCAGACAGGAGATGACATGGAAACCACCCAACAGCAGAGCTGAGGAACAGCACGTTGTCAGACATTCGTAGTTCCCGTCTTCCCACAATTCCCTTACATAAACCAGCCGGGATGCCTGAGATGAGAAGATGGGCTTTGTGATGAAAGTCCCGCCCCCATCTTCCAAGTTGCCAGCACCTGAATAAAACCACTTCCCTTTGTATCAGCACCTGCCTCCAGCATTAGCTTTTGAAACAGCAGGAAGCTGGACCCGTGTTCAGCTGCACAGACTAACCTGTGGGAGAACCATTGTTGTGGTTCTGGAGACTGTGGGGTTTCCTCGCAGCTCTGGTTGAGCAGTTTCTCCTCATTGCTCCCTATAATCTGCTCGCCGACCTCTCTTCACAAGTCCCCACGACTTTCTTAGAATCTTTTTTTTCTTATTATCATCTTGGATTTTTGTTACATTAGACATGGGAGCTCTTTAACCTCTTTCATAAGCCTGATAGTTTTCCTCAAACGCTTTTGCCAGTGGCACCCAGAAGGAGATCAGATGACATGCTGCTCTCACATAATGACAGAGAGCCTGGGGCAACAAAACAAACACAGCACATGCCCTTCAGGTCACTGGAACACTCCCTCTGTTTCCAGTTCTGAGTTGAGAGTCGATCTACAGTTTTTGAGTCTCCTGGAAATAACCCCATTGACTTGTCATAACAAAATGTCCATTTGCCCTGAAATTTTTCTCTAGAACTTGTTGACACCAAGGAATTTAGAAATCCCTGGGAGACACAAAAATTTTCAGCCTGTTGCACATGGCGAAGAGCTGTTAGTTTACTAAAGTATTGGTAATTATCCATGGACACCTCTCAGGCACAATAAAGACCCAGAGGCTTGAGAGCCAAATTTCCCAAATATTGGCCTCTCTCCTTGCCTGATGTTCCCTGACAAGCGCTTGCGCTGTATCTCTCTCTCTCTCTCTCTCTCTCTCTCCCCTCCCCCACCCTCCGGTACTGATGCAATGTACAGCAAAAAATGTATGATGTGGGCTGAGAGTTGAAGGCACCTCTGTCAGGATCCATAAACACTTTTCCAACTTTATTTTTTTAATCTATACTATGAAGAGGTTGGAATACATGACCTCTCAAGCCTCATTACTCAAAATGTGGTCCACAGTCCAGCAGCACTGGCATCACTTGAGAAATTGTTAGAAACGCAGAATTCTACGCCCCAAACAGACCCACTAAACCAGAATCAGCATTTCCAGTAGACTTCCAGGTAATCACTATGCACACCATTGTATTTTTCCATTTCTTGGGAAAAGTTGTAGCGAATCAACTGCAAATTTAGTGACTTCATGTAAATACATTACGTCATGGCTCTGTAGATCAGAAATAGCTCCCAGGTCTCACTGGGCTCACATCTACATGACGACAAGGCTGAATTCCTTTCTCGGGGTTCCAGGGGAGAATCTGTTTCACCTTTTCTAGCTTCTAGAAACCATCTGCACCCCTTGGCTCCCGGCTACCTTCCTCCACTTCCAAAGGCATCAGTGTTGCGTCCCTGTGAGCATTTTCCCAGAATCACATCTCCCATAACTCTGAACTCAGTTAGGAGAGTGCTCCACTTTTAAAGAACAATGTGATTAGATTGAACCCACTGGAATGGTCTAGGATAATCTTACCAATCCAAAATCCTTAACTATATCATGTCTGAAAGCCCTTTTGCTGCATAAAGTAACATAGTCATAGTTTCTAGGAATTAGGATGTGGGTCTCTTTAGGCTCCACTATTCTGCATACCACACAAAACAAATTTTGAGAAGCTATGCTCTCTACAACATATTCATCCAGAAGAAAACAAACAAGAAAATTTCTTTTATTTGTATGTTGTTGACTGCATTCTTCCTGCTATGGGCTGAATTTTATCCTTCTACTTTCCTCCCCCACGACCCCAAAATTCACGTTGAAGTCATACCCCTACTAGCTCAGAGTGTGATTTAATTTGGACATAGGGCCTTTAAAAAAGTAATTAAAGCAAAATGAGGTTAGAGGGGTGGTACTAATCTGAGTGGTGTCCTTATAAAAGGTATAGATTAGGATACAGACATGCACAGGAGGATAAAATTATGCGAAGACACAGAGTGAAGACAGCCATCTTCAAGGCAAGGAGAGAGGCCTCGGGGAATCTGCCGAGTGACAACTTCATCTTAGACTTCTAGTCTCCAGGCTGTGAGAAAGTTAATTAAATAACCCAGTTTTTGCTACTTTGTTATGGCAGCCCTAATATACAACCCAGGTTTAGTCACTTTTGCCCCTCTCATACCTGATAATAACCTAATCTCTAGCTGATTGTCACACAGAATCATAACCCAGCCTGCCTCCCTTTCCCTGGGGGCTCATCCGTGAAAAACATGTTCATCCTCCTCAACAAAACTCACAAAATTAGTTCCCTTCTTCATCCAATTTTGACTAGTAATTATTCCCTCTCTCTCTCTAGCATCATCGATTTCTCTCTGTCAATGAATCTTCTCTAACTATAAAAAGAGTTGGTTCTATGTGATCAGCAGAGCTACCCCTACGGGCCTCCATCCAGTTCTCTGAAAGCACTAAAGTTCTGGGAAAAGAAACTTGTGTGCAACCCCTGCATTTCATCATCAATGCCCCCTCCACCCTTCACAATCTGACTTCTGTGCCAAACATTTGGCTACGGAGATTGGCTCTGATATGAGTGGTGACCATTTTCATGACTGTCACATGTAGTAGTCTCTTCTCACTTCTCTTTCTCTGCGATCTGTGTGCAGTTCTGATGGTGTAAACTGCAGTCTTTCCAAACACTATACTTTTTCTTCTTTACCTTCCTCTCTAACCTCCCCTCTGTTGCATTTTGCACTGATTCTGCTTCTAAAACTGTTTATTGCACTCTTAATATATTTCAGGACGAACCTAGTTAGTAGCCTCAGGTTCCTTAAAGAATTTTCTCTTTAAAAGAAAGATGAATTTGCTCTTTCTTCTCCCTACCTCAAGTACACTTTTCCATGTTTAAATGCAATTGTTTTCCAAAAATCAGTCAGTGACATTCTCATTTTTATGGTCTTTCTCATAGCAATGTACTCACTATTAGTGAGTACATTGGGCTTCAGTGCTTCAATACTAGGGCCTCAATACAATTAAAGCCCCAAACTTTATTTCTCTAAACATTTTTGCCAACATGTTGCTCTAATATTTTATATTTAATATGTCTAAAACCAAACTCTTTATACAAGTTACTTAAAATTGTGCTTAGCAAAATTATGCTTCAAAAGAAAAACAGAATATATAATATTATATAACTTAGTACTAGACTTGACCATTGGGTTAAAACTAATAATATGAATTTTAATGGAGATAAATTCAAAGTCCTACAAATATTAATCACACAAATACAGAGATGAGAGACAAGATTTTATAAAACAAGAGACATGATAAGATCTCTTTTATATAAGAGATCTTATACAAAAAGAGACATGAGACTATACTATCTATAAAGCTAGTAAATCTCAGACTGCATTAAGATAGCATAGTATATAGAAAAAGAGGAAAAGGCATTCCATAGTTCTCTGGCCAAATAATGCTAGAGTCAAACTGTTTTTTGAACTTCACCCAAGGAATGAAAAAGGGGGAGAGAAAGAAAGAGAGAACCATGTATGTGACAGAGAAATGACAGCCATTTGTCTCTCATATGTGCTCAGTTGGAGACAAAACCCACAACCTAAGCATGTGCCCTGACTGGGAATTGAATCCACAACCTTTCAGTTTAGAATGACACTCCAACCAACTGAGCCACACTGGCCAGGGCTACAGTAAAATTTCTGAAATAGTTGCTAGGGCTTACTAATGAACAGCTGGCCAAAGAACATCAGTAAAAACAATCAAAAGGGAGGGAATGTGGAAAACATTTCATGTGATGAAACATTTCAAAAAATACTTTGGATCAAATGGCTAGCTTCAAGTGTTTGAAGAGCTGACATGTGAAAATGTAGGAAGGCAAAACACATGGCAAAATCTGGCTCAAAATATAAAAGACCTTTCTGCCAGAAGGGACTGGAAAAAAATATTCAAAGTGATGAAAAGCAAGGACACACAACCAAGATTACTCTACCCAGCAAAGCTATCATTTAGACTAGAAAGACATGTAAAGTGCTTCCCAGACAAGGAAAAGCTAAAGGAGTTTATCGCCACCAAACCAGTATTACATAAAATGTTATAGTCTTCTTATTAGTATTTTTAAATAAAACAGGCAAATAAGTTATGCTGTTAGCTCTTCCTTAAAGCTATGATCAATGTGCATTAGTTTATATTTTGAGCTGTGTGGCTATAATCTTTAATCTTGCATTTGTTTCCAAATCTGTGCCAAACTCTATTAGTCCACAAGCTGCTTCCTCTGGGGAAAATGACATATATTTTCATTAAAAGAACAAATTCTTAGCCTTTGCAGCTCAACAAATAACTGAAAAGAGAAATTTAATGAACCATCCTATATCAATATATTCAACACTAAATGTTTAACATGAAGGTTACTGAAATGCTATCTTTTATAGAGAGATAGTTTGAGATAATTGAAGGATTGCTATTTACTATAACTATCATTATTTTAATAGTTGCCTCTATTAGTTATCACTAACCTTACCCCAGTTCTCCATTGTGGTCTCAGGGAATATTACAAAATACACAAAGAAACAGAATATCCTTATCTTTGCTCTCTACAATTACACCATAAAGTTAAGGATGAGTAAAGTTTTCTTTAATGACTCCCTTTATGAACAGTGACTTGAGACAAAAAAATCTATGGGTACTTTGTCTAAACTAGTATTTAAACAGCATGCTTCTCAAAAAGAGACTTATAAATATGATGATTAATTTAACAGGCTGCTTTCTCAGAACTTGAACTAGAATCTTTGCATTGCAAGTTACTCAAGTTGCCTTGTTCTATAATATTTGATATAAGCGACAATATAAATGCTAGATCATTGGAGAAAAATTCTTATCTATAGCATTGTTTTTCACATAACATTTTTTCAGTAACAGTTTTCTTCTTAAATATAGCAGATTTTAATGTCACTTGTATTTATACAACTTGAAATTTTCTCACTTTTCTCCCCAATATATAGTTCCTGCTAAGCTAATGATTTTTTTATTTTCATCTTGCTATTTATAATACACTGATGCTCCTTACCAAAGATTTTTGGTGCAACCCACAAAACTCAAATCAACCATTGGAGTCCATTGCCAGTGCTGAAGTATTACTGTTTTAATGTCACTATTCAATCATAGAAATGCTTTCTGTGCACCCATTCATTTCAATATTTGTACAATAAAATCCTCTGTGGCTCTTAGATGGCAGCCCACAATCATTTTTGTATGTGTGCTTTAAAATAGCTTGGACATGTTGCTGAAAACATGAGTGTAGGATAGATGAAAATCATTCTTAGCCTCATTATTTTCAATGAGTTCAAAGAGCATAATTTGGAAATTTATTACCTTTGTTTCCCTTTTTTAGTATGCCATCCACATTGG